GGGGGGGGGGGGCACGCGAATGAATGAAGCCTATTGGAGACAGATTATGAAAATGTTCTCGAGTGTGTATTTCATAATTTCCATACCCAGCGCAAGCAGAAAGATATTGTCTGCCGCGGCTGGGTCTTGAACCCGCGACCTTCGAATTACTAGATCGACGCTGTGCAGTGCTCAATACATGTAGATAGAGCGGCGTAATATAGTTTTTCGTTTTACCTCAAAACAACCACAACAGTCTGTTTCATCCGTATAGGAATCATCAGGTGGTGAGTAATTTCGAAAATATAGGTTGCTTTTAAAAAAAGCAACCTATATTTTCGAAATTACTCAATTACTCACCACCTGATGATTCCTATACGGATGAAACGGACTGTTGTGGTTGTTTTGAGGTAAAACGAAAAACTATATATATATATATATATATATATATATATATATATATATATATATATATATATATATATATATATATATATATATATATATATATATATATATATATATATATAATCGTCTTTACCTACACTGACACTGACCATTAATCAGTCAAGTTCGCTGAACACAATCATTTGGATTTCCAACGGCAAAACCACATAATTAACGACATACTGTTGAACCTAATCGGCTGATCCTAGGAATTCGAGTGCCTCGACCTTGTACCATACTTTTTTCGTGCCCACTCACACAAAGTCAAAAAGTCGATCTACGGTATAACTCTGGAGCGTTTCCCAGATAAGATGAAAATTTTAGTACATGTTGTACGTTTCTTGAATCAGTTAGTGACGATTCGTTTTAAAGAGCGTGGGCATTACCTCAAGATTCTTGTAACAATTAGATGGGAATATGATAACATATACCTACAGCTAATTCAAAAAAGGTTGTCCTTCGAAAATTTCAAACCTTATACTCTAAGCCAGCAAGGTGTGATGGGTAACTTCTTACTTACGGCCTAAAACGTGCGGATTTTGTATTGCAACTATGGCAAGACAGATATAAGCTATATAAGCACTATAATGTACAACTATAGCAGTGTCAGTGTACTAGAATTATTTGCCCAATCAAAAGCCCTTAAAAGAAGTTACCCATTACTCTCTGCGCGCTTAGAGTTAAAGTTGAGATTTTCGAAGGACAACCTTTCTTGCCGAGCTGTATTCATTATCTTGTAGTTAAAACCCTACACAGTATTGTTAACATAAAGTTGACTCAACCTGCATTTGGCAATACTATTGAACCTTATCGGCTGATCCTATTGGGGTGCCTCAACTTGTACCATTATACAAACTCAGACTGAAGTCTACATTTTATAACTCTGGAGCGTTTCCTACAGGGGCGCCGGAGCCACGGGGGCAGCTGCCCCCATTGCCCGAACAGTGCGGGGGCAGCACGGGAGCAATAGGTTGCCCTTTTTACCGGAACTACACTTCGAAATTCGTGCGTTATTCACAGGGATTGGAATTTATAACTATTTTTAAGCAATGTTTAATTAAAATGTTTAAGCAATGTTTAAGCAATATTTAAGCAATCTTTACTTAATTTTTAACCAGTTGCAGTAAAATTAATGCTAAATCAAGTAAGATACGTCCGTTTACTGATTTTATTTTGCACTTTATTATTTTTTTACCTTTTTATTTTGCCGGCGATTTTTAATTTCAGAGCATATGGGGATCGGGAACCGCATACTATAACGAAGCTGTTATCGACTCCATGGATCTGTGGCCAATGCTCTGGAAGATAAAGCTGGAGGAAGAACGAGAACTGTGGGCGCTGGTCGAGCTGTGTCTCTGCTGCCCGTACGGTAATGCATGCAGTCTGCGAGTCGTTCATCTCGTACTTGCGTGTAGTCAAATCTGGCTTGCGCAACAGGTTGAACGAACGCAACTTGACTGATTTAATGCGCAATAAAGTGACAGGTCCAACCCTGCACGTTTTCCGTGAGCGTTTTTGTGAGCTTGCTGTGGACCTCTGCAGTAGTGATAAATCACGGAGGAAGACCCAAGGGAACTGAAAGCAATATGCTGCAAGAGGAAATGCATCAAAAAGGACAAGAGGGAAGAATTCCTTAGAGATTGGTTGAAAGACGTTGGAGCTGTGGGCGAACAAGAATCGGAGAGTGAGGAAAATGAAGAGGAGATGGAAACTGATTTATCGAGGAAGTTGCCACAGAACCGGTCAAGAAATCTCACTAGTTACTTCTGCTCAGTGGGAGTTGTTGGACAGCTCCGAAGACAGTGGTCGTGAAGACCCTCTCCTGGGCGGAATGAGAAGCAGCGACTCTGAGTTACCGTGACTGGTGATTCTAACTAAACTTTAGTACTCTAGTGTTCTATAGTGGGTCAAGTGAGAAGAATCCAAAATGAACTGAGCACCAGATTTTGTAAACTGTGACGGATTTTTAGTCGTTTACGACGTATTTATTTAACTTCCCTACAAAAAGTTTAAGTTCGGTTCTATTAAGCTATAAAAACAACAATATTTTCTTATTGTTTTGAACTGATTCACATAGAACTTGTTAATTATGTTTGTTCCTACATCAAATAAAATGTATTGCGCGCTGTGTTCTTACAAATGTTGTGCTGGTTTACATCACTATTATTTGGTCTATGCCCACTCCAGAACATAAGGGACGGACCATTAGAAAAGTGATGGGGGGGGGGGGAGGGGGGGGGCAAAACCAAAAAAAAATTTATTCCCAGAAAAAAATTAGGGGAAAAAATCTTCCCTCCCCACCCCATCACTTTTCTAATAGTCCGTCCCTAACTAAACTTTGCTTGGAAAACAGCCGGCAACAATTTCACCTAAAAAAACAGCCTAAAAAATTTGAAATATATTCAGAACGTTATTTGGAGCCCTGTTTAGCACGGTGCAACGAATAAAATTGTTCAAATTAATGTCGAAGTTTGCCCATCCATAATAGCCACAAGTAATCGAGTATCCATTCAGTAAAGTTTTAACAAATATTGCCGCTCAGAAAAATGATGGCTGAGCTAAGCAAGTGCCCTTGAAATGGCTGCTCCCGCTTCCGGCGCCCCTGGTTTCCCAGATAACATGAAAATTTAAGAAAATTTTGCGTGTTCAGTTAACTGCAGCTATTCTCAGTTAGTGATGATTCGTTCGTTCAAGTGTGGGCGACTGGGCGTTACCTAAAGATTATTTTAACAAGATGGAAAAAATAACGATAACATATATTCATTATCATATTGTTAAAACCCAACATTAGTATGCAGGAAGACTGGCGTTGTTAGTAATAATTATAACCCAACATGAACTAAACTGTATATTGTCAACAAAAGGCCAGATTTGAACCTCGGTATATTCAGGCTCAATGCATACTGGCGTTCTGCCAACTGTTGAGATTTTCATAATAAAAGCCCAACACTTCAACGTAAAGTTGACATACCAGATTTGACTTGTACGTTCCGAGTCGTGCGGCGAGATTGACGTTCTACCCAGGGCTACCGAGAGAATTCGCGGAGCCCGGGGAAAATCTTCACTGGGGGTCCTATGGTCTCCTATGACATCATTATTTTTAAAACCTACTCAATTTTAGGCTCTTGCTCTCAAGTTGGGTCCCTATTAAGGTGGGGGCCAGGGGCAATTTCCCCCTGCCCCTCTCTCGGCGGCCATGGTTCTATCAATTGATCTGACGTTATTTATAGTAAAACATGTTACTGCATGCAACAAGAAATTGTTGTCTTTGACTTTGGGAAAAGATTAGAAATATATATTGAACTGCTATTGCTTCTGGCATTCACTTTTAGCATTAAGACAGTAGAAACTTTAGATACAGAATACAGATTATTTATTCTAGCAGATACCTCCTTAATAGCTTATTAATTCAGTTAAGGTTTGTTCAAAGCAGGTAAGAGTCGGGGTTAGGGTTTGGTGTATAGGGTTCAATTAAGGCTATTCCAATTTGAGCGCTTTTTGAAAATTAAGACATAGCCTTAATTCTGAGAAGAGATCATGCTGGTTATTTATGATGAGTCATATGGCAGTATGGCGTAATTTTGCTGGCGATAATTTTTGCTTTACAAGTGGCATCGCGTAAACATCGCGTAGGACTATATTATATATTAATACCATAGTTATACGATGCACGCATAACTATAGTCTATAATATGTCATATATAACGTCCAAATATAAAAAGAGGACATTCCCAAGCTCTAGATTAACAAAATAAAGCTTTGATGCATGAGTATTCCAACTATATGTATTAACAGGGATGCCGGAAGTTGCTGGGGGCAAGGGGTGCAATTGGTTAACAAGAGGGCATATTCCTCAACAAAAGGGCACTAATGAAAATGAAAGGGCATCTAAAAATTATTTTTGGCGACCTCCCCCCC